CACAAGAGAAGGTCCTCAGATCGCCACAGCTTTTCAAGACGAGACTGATACTCTTGAAGCATCTCAAAAACGCTAGCCTGTTTTTCATACATGCCAACCGACTCTTTGCAAAGAGCTATGAAGCCACAGAGCGCAACGGCAGTGTCCTGACTCTCAGGCAAGAGCTCTTGATTGACTCCTTCCCCCCTTTGCTGTTTGCTCTTTTGCAACATTTTCGAAAAGACTTGCATACGCGCTCATTCGTCAGTGCTTGCCTGCAGTTACGCGCACGTGTTCACAATGGTCCCCTATGCCCATGACGACTACGACATCCGTAGCGCGCGAGCTAGGTGCTTTCGCACCAAGTGCGTGTACAGAAAGCTAATTCACCCCTAGAGGGAAATCGGCCAAATTTGAACTTTCAAACGAACTTTGTGAAATAGAGCAGCTACCTATACATCAAGCTATTAGCAATGTTGGTGATGGGATAGAATTAACTTTTCGGCAAAGCTTCCCTACTATATATAAAACGCTATGTGTATATGTATGTGTGTGTGTCACGAAATTCATAGCGCGCGTACCAGCAGTCGTCAGGAGCTGATTTCAGATATGATATAGGGGGTGGGACGGGAACATATTTGGTGGGGACAGAAAGTGATAACAACTGATAAGGGCTGATAAGAAGCGCTAGAACGCAATGTCACGAAATTCACAGCGCAAGGCCCAGCAGCATTGAGGCGTTGCTTTGCAGATATGATATAGGGGGTGGGACGGGAACATATTTGATGGGGACCAGAAAGTGATAACGGCTGATAGGAGCTGATAAGGAGCGTTGGAAGGCAAATGTCCTGAATGTTCCTACCAGATGCGTGATAAGAAAAAATCTCATTTCTTCGCGATATCGTCGTGATCCATTCGACCGCTAATCTGCCCGAGCTTCTAAATGGTCGGTGTCTGTGAAATACGATAAGTATTGGTATTCTATCTCATCACCGGCATAAGAAGTTATTCGACCGCTAAACCATCCCAATATCCAAAGCATGGTAGATGTTTACGCTGAGGGCTGATAATAAGCAGCCCAAGTAATTGTATTAGTTATCCAAAGGCTCATTCGGCTGCTAGACTTTGTTAGTTCCAGAAAAATGATGGATGTTTATTGGTATTGACGAACTATGAGAAATTACTGCTTTATCATCTGATTTCCTTAATACCATCAGTCAAATCCATTGAAAGCAGTATGTTCTCAGTACAATGGCCCTTCTACAGTAGTGGCCAGAAATTTATGA